ATACTGTCGGCTAGCGCAATAATGGTTAGGAGCATGTTTGTGGGGCTGCGCATAGTCCGTTGGGTTAGAACAATGGCGTTGAGGAGATTGGTGGCGGTGCCAAAGAGGCAAACACTGAGCGAGAGGTAGGCGTGGATGGGTTTGTAGTGACGGTCAAAATCTTCCAGGAAAGGATAGCGTGTGCAATTGCTGATTTCCTCGTTTGGCGTCTCCGCGGCTGCTTCTGGGACTATGCTGATATGCTCCATTACAGTTTAATGGACAAACTCCTGTTCTGCATATTTCGTGCAAAATCTTCTTCTCACAGGCGGTGAAAGTGTTGCCTTGCGCATTTGTTGGATTCAACGCGCTGGATGTTTATCCCCCTGCGCGGAGATTGGATCGTTCTCTCGGCGGTCCGCGATTTTGGCCAATCACTGCGCGTTCTATGTTTACTGCCTCCCGCTCCTAATTCCAGTTGGCGGTGTGGATGTGTGTGTTTGAACTGAACCCGCGTTAGCGAACAAAACTACGAATTTGACCAATATTGTTATGGGATTGTCCGAAACCGAAGGAAAACTTGTTTTATCATGTCAATTCTACCTAACTTTTAAGATGAGGATAGGTGGAGTAGACGTCGTTGAAGTGGGCCTCATCACTAGTAGTGGGTATTTGTGATTTTTCAACACAAGTATTTAAATTCTTGCCTTTCCACTACGGGATACGAAGTATTTGGTTTCCTGGGAGTTCTTTTAAACGGGCGGTCGGGATTTGGCAGTTTCAAGCTTTATCCGTAAGATTATATCTGACAGTCTAAACTACTGCGCTGGGCTTTGATGATCGTCGGCAATCGGGCTGCTTGTTGTGGCTCCGACCAGTTTACGATAACGAAATTGTCCAAAATGCGTTCAGTTCACGACCTGATTTTATCTTTGCGCGTTTTTGCGTTAGTGGTTTCCATTTCGCATGAAATAAACCCTAAACCCGTTTGGACGTGAGTGCACGACCGAGTACCTCTGATTTTAATTTCGCTCTGCTTCTCCAGTCAAGAGCAGAGGCAGCGGTCGCGCAACGACGACCAAGCAGTTAGTGTAAACTACACCCAACAGAGGCCAAGGCAGGCGAAATAGCTGAGCTCTAAAGAAAACAAAATCCATGAATGGCCATTCTAATGTCTTCTGCTACAGCAGTGGTTCCTTGCACACCCTATATTCGCTTTCTTAGCCTTTTCCCAGCAGCTTCCATACGTAGGACTTCGTCCACTCATTTTATGGTGGGCGAATTATTATGAACTATCAATTTCAACGTAGAAAATAACAGATGTCTTCGAACAATCCGGCCGGCTTTAACGAAAAAAAGTTGCCTTCTCTTGATAAACTATGCTTTATTGTTGCTGTTGGTGTGCTGAAAGCCTCTCATGTAGTACAGTTTGTTTTCGGCAAGTCCATGTTACTGTGCGTAAATCCTAGCATCCCGTTCGGGCCAAAACTTTATTGTAGGAATTATATTCCATTTTGAAGTGGTACATATATGGAAATATATTAAAGTGAGAGCCATATAATATACCTTAAGATCAAACTCAATTAAATGTGAGTATAATAACCTCTGCATTTATTCTTTTAAATAATGCACATCACCGCAGCCTGTTAGGAGGAGCCAGCTAGCAGGCAGTTAGCATGCAGGTAACGAACTGCGCTCACGGAAGACTATCGACCGGCCTACACACAACGAACGCAACCTGCAGTCAATCAATCAATCAATAATTCAAAATTTAAGCTGAATGTCAGCCGCTGAGTCACAAGCCAATCGTGCCGCTACTCACTTCAGGACAGAAGCTGATTGGCTCGATGTACATAGCTTACACTCGTTTGTTGCCCTAAATATGTTGTAAAAGTCTTTGTTGCGTCGGCCGAGGGGTGTTTTAGTCAAGTGGCCCTTAAGCAGGCGCGCTTATTTGGACGCACGTGTATACGCAGTTGTGTGCGCATGCAGCTGAATAAGCTGAGGTCAATTGTCGGGTCCGCTGGCACGCCGAAGAACAGGGGACGTTGACGCAGCTGTTATCGGTTAGCCAGAAGCAGCTGCGAGGTCGAGCCCCGGGGGCGCCAGTGAAATAAAGCATTGGAACAGTTGTTTGTGACGACACGACTTTGGAGCAGCGAGCCTTGGACAACGAAGGCGAGATAGGCATTGTGGCTGTCTGCCACAATTTCTTCACTCCTTTTGTACTGGAATCTAACTAGCGGGCGCTGGCCTTTTTTAGCCTAATGGCCATGGAAAAAAGCCCCCCCTCCCCACTGGCCATTTATCTGGATGCGACAGTTGGCATCTTTGCACGGCATCTCAGTGGTTCAGCTAATGAGGATCTGACGTACAAACTATAATATTTGGCCAACCAGTTCCTGTACTGTGTACTTTTCTTCTCCTCCTCCCGCTTCACGTTAGTTGTTTCGCTTCATGTTCGTGCATACTGTTGCACGCGATGCGAGCGGGTTATTGCGGTGAGATTAGATCTAGCTAGGGTGGGGAAGGGGCTACAAGGGATGAGGTTTTCTCGAACTCTGCAGCAAGGATGGTGAGCGAAACTCCTTCAAATATATGAAATGCAGGGTGGGCCGTTACGCAGACGGATAGTAGCAGCACAGCCTCATTTGTTTGCGGAATTTGCCGTATACGACTACGTTTGCTTAAAAATCTGGTTACTTTCAGCATTCCGTTTGCGTATTAAGTTAAAAGTGGACATTTTTAATCTACGGAATAAAAATTTAGTCGAAGAATCCACAACGTCCAGTGGACCTCCTCTTTCCTGCCAATACAAGCGAACATGCAAGTCCCAGGAAGTTATTGAGAAGACGATTCGATCGTTGGGACAATATGTTTATTCGCCCGACGTTTCGACATCCGTCGCGGATTCCTCATCAGAGACATAATCACAGGACAGCAGCAGATACGGGCAGTTTGTGCACAGGAGTCTGCCGTAAAATTTAGACTTGCAGAAAAAGTCGATCAATGCTTGGAGTGTGCGCTGATTCGTTACGTCAGCAATGACCATCTGGCCCTGTGGTCTTGGCATAGGACGATGCGGTGGTTTGCTTTGGCTGTTCTGTCATTATTTCTCTGGTGATGAATCCGCGGCGGATGTCGAAACATCAGGCGAATAAACATATTGTCCTAGCGATCGAGTCGTCTTCTTCTCCTCTCCCCTATTATCAGAAAATATAGGCCTCTTGCGGAACAGTTATTTTAAATCGGTTGCAGTACTAGGAAAAATGCAATGCCGTCTTACTATTAAAATAGAACTTATACACACGTTTACTTGAGTGACTGAATGTTCCTGCACCAGGATATCTCACCCTTCTTACAGTATTTTGTAGGATTGTGTCGCGGGGTCGTCTGGGGAAAGTGTGAAGCGCGCCCCGC